ACGTTTTCATTTATCACCTTCATTTCGAACACTATCAACAATTGCAAAGTTTATAAAAATATCAATTCTATTATTGCTTTTTTTAGTACGTAGAGACGATATGAAAAGATTCTTTTATTTCCAATAATTAAGATGCCTACTTTTCCTTCAAACTTTTAATTGTCGTATCTTTTATCAAATATATAACTGAATATTGTTATCTCCAAATATTGTCGAACTCTTGGCATCAACAATATAGTTATTTTCAGATAATTGATTCGTTGGAGTGTAGGTGTGGGTTCGATTGAGGAGGAAAATTACACCTATACATACTGTCGAGTTTCTATGATATTTGAGAGCTTATAGAGGAACATCTTTTGTTCACTCTCATTTAATGTAACTTTTTAGAAATTTTAATTATTCGTATGGCGACTATTTCTTATAATATCACACTACTTTATTATATCGAACAAGTTCAAGTAAGGTTTCAACAAGAAATAAATCATATACAACTGGTTCTAATTCTGCTAAAGCTAAATAAAGAATTTCAGCGATAACTTATATTTCTCGAAAATATTTTTTTTGTTTTTACTTCCTATTATGTGTTTCAAGTTTATGTCCACTTGCTATTAATTAATCACAATGTTTTATTAAATCTTGTACTTAAATAACTTGTTTTGAATGAAGTGTATCATGTGATAACATAACAAGAAACTTAGCAATACTATAAATGAAATGTGATGATATATCATAATCTGGCATAGTTTCTTCAATCATTTCCAGTTGATAGATTATATGAGTAAGGAAATACTGTTTAAAAAATAAACGAAAATTCATCAGCATTTAATCAACTATAATTAACACGAATTAAAAGTAATTGAACAAGTAAATCGAGTTCAATAAAAACTAAAACAGAAAACAAAAAAAATAGAATAGATCAAATTCGTTTTTTTTTGTTTATTTTACTCTCGCATTGCACTATATTCTATGGATTGATCACTATTTATATTTGATATATAACGTGAACCAAATAAAATAAATAATCAATTGTCGAATAGTTATTGTATGAATATTTTGTTTCAGCAGATGATGATAAAACGATTGCTAATTAGTACAGGTTTAATGAAAACTAAATTAAAAGAATATTTTCAAATGAATGTTGTGTTAACAGAAAAAATAATTTTCAAATCTTGAATTTTAAGAGAGAACCAAATGAAAAGATGTGACACTTTCACAATAAACTATTCTCTCATTAAAACCGTCAATATTTGCAAAAACAGTTTTTCTGTTACTATGATATTCTTACATTGAAATTTTCTTTTTCTGGATTAGACCATTCCTGAAATCTTGATTATAAGATCTCCATCTAAAATTCCGTCCACAGACAAGTTTTGGATAAGAGACTATCATAGAGTATTTCTTTTCTTGACCTGTCCTAAGAGCTGGACATAGGGTGTAGACAGAGTAGAATAATACTTATAAAGTGAGTATGTCTATTGCAAGATTTTAAGTTTCAATAAAATAATGATATTCTCAGATGCTTTTAGTCACTAAACTCCGTGCTAGAAAAAAGAAGAAAGTAATTTTAATTGCAAAACAATATTTGTTTTTTTACTAGGGTCACATTTTTTTCACTTTATTTTATTTAATAAATATAAGTACGGTTTTTATATTTATAAAATAAACATCGGTAAATTTTTTATATTTTCTAAATAAAGATTAAAAATTTTTTTATTTTTTCAAAAATAAACACCATAGATGTATATGAACTATACAGAAAGTTTTTTTTTGCATATATATTCTTTTTTTCATGCACTCACTTGATTGTCTAATGATATGACATGTCGAAGTAATATTTATGGCAAGAAAGAATATTGCTTCACATATCCAATTGTTATACTATGTATTTGTCTATCTATCTATAACAGAACAAATTTTTCTTCATTCTTTAATTTTCAAAAACAAACAATTTATCTATGTTCATTTTATAAATATAAAGATTTATTTTTATTTATACTTATTCTTTACTATAATGCAAAAATAAACTTGTAACTGAAAAATAAAGTTTCGTTGTGCTGAATTTCATAAAGTCAGCAAAATTTTCGACATAAAATTTGAAAGAACTCATATGTCTTCTGTTATGTTTTATGAAATTCTTTTAGTGCGTCGTGGTCTTCTAACATAAAATATGATCTTCTATTCTTGACTTGTGTTTGATAAAAATCGACCATCTTTTAATTTCATCGATTAAAATTAGGTCTTCTGAATGAAAGGCAACTTTTCTTTCTTGTAGTTTTTTCTGTGCTCATCAAATTTTTAAGGAAGTAGTCAGTTCATATTCAGATTTCTTAAGACGTGTAGCAGAAAAAAACTTGACTACGTTTCTAATTAACTTCATTTTATACACAAGGTTTAATTCATTCAAAATTATTTGTGAAATGACAATCAAAATGAATTGAAGATGAAATAATTAGATTAAAATCGACTAAAAACATTCGCATTTTAATCAATTGTTTAATCAGAAAAACTAAACTGGAATTAGCCTTTTTTTAATTTTTTTGGTATAGGTTAAACGTTTTTGCCCCGCCAGCCAGTCTCTGGTTCAGACCCAATACGACATCCTAAAGGTTTTAGCTCAACCGATTAGTAGAAGAAGATTAATAACTGAATTTTTCTAACTAATATGTACTATTTAAAAGAAGTTTTACCTCTTTTGTAGATTGAACGTTGATTTAAAATAATTAAGTGTTTCTTCCAAATTTTTTAATAGATCTTGTGTAGAAATAAGACTTACTACTGATTTTATAGAGAATAATGTTGTTGAAAGTGATCGTTCAAAAATTAACTTTTGTATCTTTATTTGTGTTTGATATTATTGATGAATCTTTATCATTCTCTAAAACAAAAAAACAAATGAATTCATTCAGACAAGACATGATCCAATACATTCTTCAAATCTAAAACTTTAGAACTCCTTTCTTCTACGAAAGTTGAAATGTCAATTGTAGAAAATGATCTTCTGCCCAACAAAAATGATAATTGTGAAGTTTTTTGCAATAGTTCAAGAACATTAATAAAATAATTCAATTTTTGAATAACTTGAATCATTTGTGCTACTTTAAAAACATTTTTTCATTTGTTAAGATTTGATAAATCTTCAAAAAATGAAATTATTATTATCGAGTAATAATTGTAAATTATTAAGGTCATTTCATATAAATAGATGTATAACTAAACAAAGTTCATCATATTGATTATGAAAAAAATGATCGAATTGTTGTTGATCCTAAAACATTTGAAAGAGCATAAATACCTTCTAAACATTCAACTTATATAAAAGACAAAAATAACAAACAATTTATATTCGAGTGGATGTTTGAGCTAAACAATGAAATATTAATGTTGGTAAGCATGATATTGTTTCACATTGCATTCCATCATTGAATATAATTACAGAAGTATCTGTTTGTTACAATGAATAATGAATTTTATGCATCCATTGACAGGAAGAATTGATCCATTTAGATAAATAATGTATTGACCATTGATATACTAAAAAAATGAATTGTGATCAATAAACATTAAAATCAAAAAGTAGCTAGTAACTAACTTAATACAATAAAATCGACTGATGCATTCAACTTCAAAAATAAAACTACGTAGTTAACTAACATCGCTACAATTGACATACTTAGCAAAAGTTAAAGTAGCTACTGGACGAACACTTGTATCATTATCAGTAAGAAATAGAAAGATAATGTCAATACAATGATCAAGTCATGATCGATTCTAAAAATAAAAGGAAAACAAAAAAAAAACAAGATATTGTTTTTATCTTCTGTATATGATTAGTTTTAATTTACTGTTTTTTTTTATCTGTTATTGTTGTTGTTCAAGATAAGTTAGTATTCAAGAAAATCAATATTACGCACAATTTGAGCTAGAGCAACCTATTTTATACACACAAACAGTTTATTGTAATCATAAGTTTCATTTGTCTACTTTAGCCAGAATATAAGAACTTGTACTATGTTGAGCAGAATCTTCTAATCATTTAATTCCTATGATTGTAAATGTATAACATGTGCATTATTATCCTAAAGACATAATCGAAATGTAGAGTGTAATTCTGCTAATATACCTAATTGAATATATTTAAAAACAAAAAGAAAAAATATTTTTATCAAAAACAAGAGATGATTTAATATTCTAATCTAACCTTGAACTGTCTTGTGAATCAATTGATACAAATGAATATTCATTAATAAAAGAATTATTAAATGAATTTGATAATGATGATAGTCTTAAAAGATGAATTGTTCTTTTTAATTAATGTAGCAAGGAAAGAAATTTGCATATGTATCACATAAATGTAGATCATCTACCTCGATGTTCGATAGATTTTAATTTATTACAAGTCATATAGAGATAAGAATTTCATATCTATTACAAAATTTTTATTTAATCAGAAATCTTCAAAGATTAAAGAAAAACTCATTCGAGAATACAATTGATTTTATATCATAATGAAAAACTGAACATCTCTTTCGTACTAGATATGTACAGAATTCGTACTTTAGCTTCGAACTTTGTTTTTGAGGTAATTATGTGATTGTATAATTTCAATCTCTGACATATAAAGACTCTAAAACTTTTGTATGTCTAACCTACTTAGTAAAGTGTTCTACTTGATATATTTTCGAGTCTAATAATGTTCGAGTCTAATAATGTTCGAGTCTAATAATGTTCGAGTCTTTTGTTGGTTTCAAAAAGATTAAAATTTCATATTGTTTTGTTTCAACAATTCAATAGTAAAATCTTCATATCTATCAGATAACTTTCACTAAAACTTTGAGACCATAACCAATTGAAGTCACGTTAACTAAACTCAGTTACAAGCTCCTTCATCAGATTTATCCTATTCATCTGAATCCTCCTACTGTTACAACATTGGAAATAATTTTGGATTATAAAATAAATCTATTTCACTGAACTGAAACTTTACAAAAAAGAAAAAGGTCTCAAACAAGCATTAAACATAATTGATTAACAAGTTTAGCAACTGATGTTTGTTTTTCATTATTAATCATTGATTTTGAATATAATTCATCATTCATTTTATATACTAAAATATCGTGTTGTTTATTCATTTCTATAAATCAACGTTGATATGTTGAATAATCTATTATTTTAGAAAAAAAAAATGCTTGTTGTTCTCTTTTCACAATATTTACCTGTGTTTAATGTGTGACTAATACAAGTTACTTCTATAGATCCAATTTGAATTGAAATTAATAATTGATCAAAATCAAATAAATTTAAATATAATTTCATGTGTTTCCAATGAATTTCATATTACATTATGATCTTTTATGTTTCTAAACAAATATAAAATATCATATCAACATATTAAAAAATAAATATTTACATAGAAAATAAAATCATTCATTATTTATCAAATACTGATTGAAAGATGTTGTTCATTTGTACCAATATTTCTAGTTCTTGTTTTTGATCGTTGACTTTTTCTTGATGATGATTGAAATCTTTTGACATGTAATTTAAGATAACCAATTATTAAATTTGTACTATGATTTTGATTATGATGCTCAAATAATTGATCTGTTAAAATAAAAGACAAATTATAATTAATTGAAATAATTATTTGAAAGAAAACTTACCAATTACATTTATTATTAGAAAACGTGCTATAATCATAGGATAACATATTGACTGAATAGGACATGAGAGGTTTCTGAAAATTATTTATTATTAATATTAGGAAAAAAAAAGAAAAATTCATTCTCATTCGATTTCATACCTTAACTTTAACGATTGTTAGTGAATCAACTATGACTAATTTATTTCATTTCTCATTGATATTTAATGATAAATAAAATTTTATTATTCTTACTGCAAATGATGAACAGTTTCTCAATCGGTATTTCGTCAAATAGTATGAGACTACCTATTCTACAATCATTTTCTATGTTTCTATTCAATCGCATAACTTTTTTCTGATTACTTCTTTAGAAGAGGTTTCTTAGATGACAAGAATTTTCTTTTTTACTTACTTTGATTTTTTCATCATTAATTGATCAACCAAGAATATAAAAAATAAGTTCATAATATTCTGATAAAATAGTTGAATCTTTTTCGAATGTATTACATTTACTGATTCGTCAAATCGCCATAGAACATCTAATTGAAATTGAAATAAAACAAACCTTTGAATGCTTTTTATTCAACATTAGGATTATCTTTTATAATCCTTTATTATAATTCATACAAAATTATTAAAAAAAAAGAATTTCTTTTATAATACTTTTACAATAGTCGTAACTGATTTAAAATTATTTTCACATTTATCTCTAGATCAAAAAAAACTTTCGATAACATGTTGTTGTTGAAAATAATTTTAAAACTTCAAGTGATTTACTTAGTTTATCCATTTTGTTTAATTTATATTGAATTCATTTATTTTAAAGCTAAATAAATAAGTTTAAACATTTTTTGATAATCATAATAAATGAATGAATAATTGATGGAAAAAGTCTAACGTCGATTGAATATTCACCTTCATCAATGAATGAACGAAAAACTAGTCTACAAATCTTTATATTAGATCCATAATTTTTACTGTAAATTATTATTTAAAAAAAATCAATCACTGCACTTGTTCTATTTGAACTTCTGTTTTATTATATTATATTCAATCAATATGAGCATAAAATAATATTTTTGTAAAACGTGATGTAATAAATAACAAAATGATTAAATTTATAAAAATTTCTTTTTCATTTTCTTCTTTCAATTATCTCTTATATATGTGTATGTTACTAATCAAAGAGAATAGCCGATAATTCTTTTTTTGTGTTCCTCTTTCGTTCAGTCATCACTCTTATAGTATGATATTGAGTGCACGACATCTCATTTGTTCTTTCACATCCCAGACGAAAAGAAAAATAAATTGAACATAACATGTGTAAAGACGACATAGATATCGTGCACTCAATATCACAGCATGAGACAAAACAACCGGTTGTCATTATACGCTGCGTATTAAAATTCCGTCGACGTCGTCTTTCTTCGCGTTTCTCTATTTCTTCTCGTTCTTCGTAACAGAAGAAAAAAAAATTTAAAACAAACGGAGCTTTCGAGGGTGGCTCTAAAACAAAATGAACCTTCCCAGGGATATCCGACGTTCTGTTGGTAACCTGTACAGGCGTGTAGATGGTAGGCCTTCATAACATACATCTATGTATGTATGACTAGAAGTATCCATCTCGTCATCGTCTTTCCGAAGATGATGATCATGGATGTACTAGTCATACATAAATGTATGTTTGCCTTATCATTGCCGGTTGTGTCCACTGTACAACCCAGCAGAATAGGGAGGGTATCCCTGGTCGCGCCAGAGTCAGCACTTTGTGGCACTGGTGAAATGAAACCGTTGAGGCTGATCACTACAGGAGAAAAACAAAGAGCCCTGCATTTTTATTGTGATGATTAAAGAACAGAAGGAAAAAAATTAGAATTTCTTTTTCACATTTTCAATGTTTGTTTTCGATTCGGTGATATCAGGATGTGTTGTAGGCAAAACCCTTTCACGAATTTCAAGTGCTTTTTGATAAAATGAAAGTGCTTTCGAATATTTCCCGATGCTTTCATACACTAAACCGTTGCTATTGTACGAAGTAGCCAAGTCTGGATGGTCCGCAGTAAGTGACGTTTGCCGAATATCAAGTGCTTTTTGGCAAAATACAAGTGCTTTTGTGTTCTCAAGTAAGTTTTTGTACACCAAGCCAATGTTATCGTATGAATATGCTAAGTCAGGGTGGTTCATCGGAAGAGCTATTTTTCTGATTTCAAGTGACCGCTCGTGCAATGAAAGTGCTTTGGAATAGTCACCCATCTTGTTATACAGATAACCGATGTTGTTGTAGGAAGAAGCCAAGTCGGGATGATTCGGAGGGAGAGCTTTCAGAGTGATCTCCAGGTCTTTTTCGCAGTATGAAAGTGCTTTCGAGTACTCGCCCATGTTATAATACACACTACCGATGTTGTTGTAGTTAGAAGCCAAATCGGGATGATTCGGAGGGAGAGCTGTTTTTCGGATTTCAAGTGATCGTTCGTGCGATGAAAGTGCTTTCGAGTACTCGCCCATGTTTCTATACACTATACCGATGTTGTTGTAGGAAGTAGCCAAGTCGGGATGATTCGGAGGAAGAGCTATTTTCCGGATTTCAAGTGCTCGTTCGTACGATGTTAGTGCTTTCGAGTACTCGCCCATTTCATCATACACCAAACCGATGTTGTTGTAGGAAGTAGCCAAGTCGGGATGATTCGGAGGGAGAGCTTTCAGACTGATCTCCAGATCTTTTTCGTAGTATTTAAGTGCTTTCGAGTACTCGCCCATGTTATAATACACCATACCGATGTTGTTGTAGAAAGAAGCTAAACCGATATCATTTGGAGGGAGAATTTTCTTGTAGATGTCCAGTGATTTTTCGTAATATGGAAGTGCTTGTGAATAGTCACCCATTCTATTATATACCCAGCCAAGTTGATGATTGTATGCCGCCTTATCTCGATCGGAAGTTGCCTTTACGAGGAGAATCTGATAGAGTTGTTCTGATTTCGGGTATTCACCCAGTTTTAAAAGTATGAAACCCAGTCGATCCCATCCTGTGTGCTTCTTGAACTCTTCTCGTAGATGTGCTGTGAGTTTGTTAAAGTCATCATCTTGATTACCCACAAGAGTAAGATTAACTTGCCATAAGCGATCAGTATTTTTGTCTTCAATTCGTTCAATGTGATCGACTCGGAAAATTGTATGTGTCGCAAAAAGTATTTCTTCTTCTTGATTTTTGTAGTAGCCAACTTGGCTTACTTCAGCAAATGGTGTTAATGAATTTTTGCAAATAGTCGTGTCAATGTTCATAATGAAAAGAATGCCAACCGAATTGGGTTTCTTCGCTGCTGGTCGTGCAAAGCTTTCCAGTGAAATATTGCGATTGCGACTTGTTGATAGAAAATTATTGAAGGACATAAGTCCTCCTATAGTTTTTTTCATTTTTTCAAAATCTTCCGAGGACAAACCTTGTCCCCGAAAGACTTGAAAATGTTTTGGCATGTTGTTTTCTTGTTCACGATGTAATTTCGTAATATGATTGTGTAAATGTCGGATGAAAAACCCCAGTTTCATTATGATATCGACATTCATGACTCGAAGACCATGATTAAGCATAGGATATATAAAAGTCTCGGCTGTATACCACCATATTGGCGTATGATTACGATATTCATTTTCAACTTGTTTAATTTGATCTTCAGATATATCTTCTTGTTCACGACAGTATGTAACAAGATCTTTGATAGATTTTTTATCATCATCTTCGATTTCTAAGACTGCTTCTTTCAAAAGTTGTGTGTACATAAATAATGCATCAAGACCATTGAAACTGATCGAGATCATAGCTTGATCACATCGTTGTCGATCAATTTCTAGGGCTTTACAAATTGGTTCAATTTTTGTGTATACACCTTTGATCTTCGGTACCTTATTAGCCCATTGTTCATGGTAAGATTGATTACCACAAAAAACATACACGGATTCTAATTGTGGTATAGCTTCCATTTCTGGTGCAAATTTCTGTCCAAGTGAACCCGATACGATCATAAATGCCTTTTCCTTTGTAATGCCACTAAGAAAATCAAAACATTGTCGAGTATCCGTGAATGTTGTAATAGATGCTACGATTCGTCGTAAATGTTTTAACGAATTTTGAAAATCTTCCTTTGACTCGTCAATATTAGCATCGAGCCAGACGAGAAGAAAATTCTGAATAATTCGACGAGCAGGTTGAGGAAGCGCAGCACTTCTGCCCATCGTTGACACTGATGCTGCTGTTGATGATGATGATGATGATGATGATGTTTTCTTTGGTTTATTTGTTGTGGATGATGAAGAAGATCCACTAGCAGTCGATTTTGAATGTTGCTTTTTGTCCATTTGGATGATGTTGATAATAATAATGACGTTGTGTTTTTCTTAAATGAATAAATAGATAAAAATGTAAGTACTTGTTGGATGGTGATGAAGAGAAAGAATGAGCAAAAACAGAATTCGTCTCTTTCTCTCTGTAGATAGTTTTTATTTTGTTTTTTCTTCTTTCCTGTTGATACTTTCTATTTTTTGGTTTATTGTTGTTATTACTATAGAAGACTTGAAGGATTTCTTATCTTAATCTTTTGTTCGTTTTTGTTTTTTATTTCAAGAGCTTTGTTACTGACGAAATGATAATGACAAAACATGTGACGAACGAAATCTCTGCGCATCTGACATGAAAACGAAGAATCCGTCTAAAAAGCATGAATAATTACACTATTGATCGATCGTCATTCGTAGAAGAGAAAAAAATGAAAGATTATGAATAGAATCTCAAAATGAATTGCTTCATATATTGTTTGTTTTCATTGTTTTTTATTTTTCGTTTGCTTTTATCTGGTCTCATTAGAAAATTCTTTTATCTTTGTCTACATTTCTATGTGCAAAATATCTTGAATCAATAAAATAGGCCTCTTACCAAACGACAAACCAAAATGAAGAAGAAAAAATGAAACTACTCGTTCCTATTGTGACCTTTTTTCTAGCAAAGTATTTATTTTAATCATAATACAGTGTGAAAGCAAGAAAGAAAGCAAATTCCTTTTTTAATTAATGTAAAAATGTTTAAAACATATATTTTTTTTTCTGAAGATACAACAGAAGTTTCTTTAGTTTTTCGATAGAAATCATTCTCTTTTTTTGTTGAATTGGTTGTTTTGCTCAAGTCATTATGTTTTGTTATCTTTTGAAGTTCGCATCGCTATCTCAACGAGACGAGGCAGAAGAAGAACAAACGAAAATAAACTCATATAATAAAATGAATCAATGTTATTTGCATTGTTGTCAAGGTTTTTTCCAACATCGTCATTATAAGTAGATAGTAAGAATGAGCAACGAAATAATACCACGTGTAGGTGCGACATCCTATAGATATAATGCTAATAGATTTCCACTAATAACGAATGTATTTTATTTATGTGAAGAGGTATAAATAAAAACATGATTTTTTTCTCATTGTTTCTAATATTATATATAATAAAATATTTATAGAATTCAAAAATGTTTGTTCTTGTTATGTGTATTATAGTTCAATAGAATTTATCACATACAACTAAATATTATAATAGTACAACAAGAAAACAATCAAAAAATGTGCCTATCAGACATACAATGAGTAGCAATAGAATTCAAAAAATATATACATGCACATGAGTGAAATGAGAAAATATAAACATATACTAGTTTTTATGTATTAATAATTCGATATTGTACATAAACGTGATATAGTGGTTTTGTTAGATCATTATCATTATTCAATTGATATATCGTAAGTCAAAGATTATTGAATGAATCAATATAAATTATCTAATAGTTTAAAACAATATAGGAAACATTATTATTTATATAAATTAAAAAGTAAACATACTTATTTTTTGTTGAATGCAATGATTTTCATTTATAATAATAAAAGTCAACACGATGTTATGTTTTATATTCAAGAAGTTTTTTTTTGAAATATAATATATATAAGTAAATGAACGACTTAATATTGAAATATAAAACTTTTTTATTTTAATAGCAGCGAAAATGTTTTCTAATTGACAATATCAGCTGAGAAAGACTATCGAAAATGACACAACTCACATTTGCAAGTTATTTTCGATCTATCTCGTTTAGATCGAAGATAAAAAGAAAAAGAATGTATAATGATGCCATCGTATAGTAAAAGCAATAGTTTGCTAGTTATAAACAGCCTATATGTATACTATACGAAGAACGAAAAACATTCAATGGTCGTGTTGTATGCATCACTACGTAATAGTCCCAACGTAATTGCACAATATCAGTTGGTTCCATCATAAAGATAGTCTATATAGAATTTGCTTTTGCAGTTTTTCTGCAAAAGTAAATTCTGTCATTTTCGATAGTCTTTCTTAGCTGATATTGTCAATTAGAAAACATTTTCGCTGATGTTAAAATAAAAAAAGTTTTATATTTCAATATTAAGTCGTTCATTTACTTATATCGGCTTCATCTTACTGTCATTGACAGCCTACACCCATACCTGCACCCATACTGACACCTACACTCTAGATCCACACCCAAACACCCACACCCAAACCTACATCCACACCAGAGATGTGCGGTCCACGGGGTTCACCCCGGGGGCCCCGCGAGGCCACGTGGCGACGGGCGGGCGGGGAAGAAAAATTTAATTAAACGCGGGATTAACGGGGCGCGGGTATTTTCCGGCACACGGGCGGGCGGGGCGGGTAATCATTTTTTTAAATGGCACGGGTCTCGGGCGGAGTGGGTATGAAATACACGGGTTCGGGCGGGTAAACATTTTTTTTCGGGTGTGATGAAAGATCGTCAAAACTTATCACGGGATGTCCTTAGTATAGGTATGTAGTACAAAGTACATATTGATTGGTTCATTACTTTCATCCTATTATGTACAAGATTGTCTACCATTTGTTTGTTTCTTTCTTTATCGTCTGTCATACGCAACTTCTACTATCAATTTATATTAAGTGAATAACTGGACTAAAACTTATTTTATATTTAGAATTATCGTTTGAATTTTTTTGTGAATTACTACTTAGGTCTGACCAAAAGTTCTGACAACATTATATAAAAATATAAAGATAAGGAAATATCTTTAATTTTATTTTATCAAATTTTGAGGACAGTTGCCATGATTATTTATACCAAGTTTGATCCTTTCCAACGATTAGTTAAAAGTTTTTTGAAGTTTTTTCGAAAAAAGTTTTAGGTATCATGGATACCGCATGAGCTAATCATATTTCATTTATTGTGAAAAGTTAGCAAAATCTTGTTCGATCATATCAGCTGCATTCTAGTACCGATGCTGGCTGGCTTATTGAAGATGAATCGTCAAAGACTATTGTTCATGAATAAAGATTTTAGAAAATGCTTTGTTTGGTATATTTTTTAAATCAAATACTCCTGAATGTAGATAAAGGCAAGACTGTAAGTCACAAGTATTAGGCTGAGCGCTCTCCAAAACATTTTATTAATCAAATATGGAAACAAACAGAGACATCAGGTTCATAATGTACAAAATTGCTTGACGGTCATCGTTGACTTCATACTCATCTAATGTTATTAATTGCATGACAGAAGAAGGCATCAATATAATATCATATCTATCATATTCGCCAGGCCTGATACTATATAACTTTTCGCTAACTAATTCTATTAAATGCAGTTTAACTGATTAAATAAATGAAACATGATAAGCTCGTGCGATATCTAAAAATTTTTTCGAAAAAAACTTTTAACAAATTGTTGGAAAGGATCGAACTTGGTATAAATAATCATGGCAACTGTCCTCAATATTTGATAAAATAAAATTAAAGCTGCCTACTTACCTTTATATTTTTATATAATGTTGCCAGAACTTTTGGTCAGACCTAAGTATCATCGAATTACATGATTTATCTCCTGATGAATCACTTAATAGGACAGCTTCGTCGAATACTGATCGTTCATCTACACTTATTTCTTCATCTCTCAGTCATTGCTCATCGAGTAATATTAAATGTAATTCGTCAAATATAAAAATGTTTTTAAAAGAACAACCAGAAAAATACGTGCTTGTCGACAATCACAAAGTGAATCATTCAAAACCATCTCATATAGACTTGAGTTTTGTTTTTGTAAAAAATGATTATTCATAAAAGGAATGCATCATTAAAAATAAAGTATTTGGTAAATAAAAAAATTCTTCGGCTTACACGGGGACGGGTCGGGGCCCGTCACAAAAATGGCGGGTCGGGCGGGCTGGTCCAAGAAGCTGCCTGTGCGGGGTACGGGCGGAGCGGGTATAGATTTGCCGGGGCACAGGCGGGGCGGGGATTCTCAAAAAGAATAACCACGGGGTTCGGACGGGACGGGTTTGTGAATTTTACGGGGCGGGCCCCGCGGGGGATGGAAAATCAATGCCCCGCACATCTCTGATCCACACACCCATACCCACCCCATAGTGCACAATGAACAGGTTCTTTATAGTAGCATTTTTTTGCAGATCTAGTACTGACATGAATGTGAGCTGGTGTAGGTTTGGATGACGAGAAGATCCACACCCTTACATAAGATTGGATCTTTTTTCGAAAGCAAACCCTACATACACGATAACGAGATACTGCGGGAGAAAAAAAAACAAGATTTTAATATTGACTTGGTTATATTGACCACTTGCGATAAGACTCTCTTGTGCTCTCTGTTTGCCAATAAAATATCGCTTCTGTTGTTTGACTATATTCATATTATGCACTTCGTCATAAATGTTTGACGAACTTCAAG